TTATTCCTGGTTTTTATTCTTCAGGTGTTATCGGCGCCTTCAACAGCACCCTGAACAGCGGCCCTCTGAATATCACCAACCCGGCCAGCAACAATGTGAACACCACACCAGCACCAGCCACAACATCAGGAGCCAGTAGTGTTCTTCACCCTCATGGTAACCAACACACCGCCGTTATTTAGGCTACACTCAGAACATCAGAGGCTCTATTCAAGACGCTCCTGAGTTAACGCACATGCAGACTCTCCACATCTTGATGGACCTACATACAGTACAACAATTAATTAAAGCAGCCAATGCATCTGTGGTAAATCACTACAAAACTAAAATAATGTTTATGTTACATTCAGTTCGGTCAGTCTATGGTTAAGGTCATTACCGTTCCCCAAGAAGAATTTATTTCTGCAGCAAGGCCTCGTAGAAACATAGAACATAAACACAATAAAAACCTAATAACAACTGAAGACGTTAATGGTGCTGGTACTATACAAACAGTACCGAACCAAACAAAAGGTTTCTTGTGGGAAAAGCAAGTAAAATTTGGAGGAACACTTCCAGCATAGGTCCTACAGTTTCCTAAAATATCATAGAAAGAAACTGATATGAAATTGTGAATTTATAGAAAAGTTACTGGAGTTGCTGGGAAATATATATTTATATATATATATAAATAGACATTCTATAACCAAAACTTTCTTGGTTTCCTGTGAAGTCTGAGTATCTCAAAGTATATTTCCACTTACCTTCACTGAAGTGGGATAGAGGGAAGAAACTCAAAGATGCATCTCAAAACCTGAACAAATAAAACCAAAACTATCCGCATCAGACATTTAGTGAGAAAATATGATTTTTGTTTTTTCTTTGTGATCATTTCTGATTGTCTCTCGTCTCTCTCTCCCTGGCAGCTTTGCTTCTCCTGCTGAGTGTCCTCACACTGTCCGTCAAGCTGAGAGCCTGAAAGAGTCCGGAGGAAAGTTGTGGCCTGTTTGATACAGTGAAGACATGTACGCTGTGCTAATGCACAGAGGAAACCTGAGTGTCAACAAACAATGTATAAGTTATGCATAAATTGTGTTTTGAGTGCTGAGTACTGATGTAATAATGTAGTAATGAAACCGGTCAGAAAGTCAACATGCTGACTGGCGTCACGGGTGGCGGCTCTATTTATTGTATTGCATCTCCCTTGTTCTCTCTGGTCAACCTCAGGTCTGCTCAGATCAGGTCTCTGTCTTGAAAATTGTCGGGTCCATTTTGGGTCCAAAATTGTTGTGCACAGAAGAAGACTGTGTGTCAACAAACTGTGTATAAATGATGTTTTAATGAACTTAATTAGACACATTAAGTATCTTTTGCACTATATTTGTACCTAAGATTTGTGCGTTGAGCTTAAGCTCAAAACGAATGATGTTCAGAAGGCATTTGCAAACACTTATTGTGGATTTACTACGACTATAGAAAGAGTATTGTAGTTCCAGTTTTGTACTTGTGCAAACTACAGATCTACAGACTTAAGTCTGACAAGTTTGAGCTGTTTTTCCGGAGCATCTTGGCTTTAATCCTCAACTGAGGTACAGCCAACATCATTGAAGTAAAACTCAAGCCAAACCAGTTTTAATACTTGCATGTAAACGTTCTGTGACTTGATGGAGAGATGGAGGAAAAGGTCACCCAGCCCTAAAATGATAAAGATGATGATGATAATAAAGATGAAACTATTATTTACTCCTGTTCAGGGCATCACGTCATTGACTCATTTACCTGGCACACCTGTCACACTTGTAATGACCTTGTCCGAACAGGAACGGTGGTCATAAGACAACAAGCAAACTACGACTTCACACCTACAAACAGAATTAGTTTATAGAATATATAGAGAAAATAATCTGCAGATTCATCAATAATGAAAATAATAGTAAGTTGCAGCCTTAAAATATTAATAATAATAATAATAATAATACACCTACAATAACAAGCCTGACAATAATAAACGAGTCAAAGCTTTTGCCTGATTATCTGAACAATGGAGCTGCAATGTTGGTAATAATCAGTAATTACAGACGAAAACTGAACGTCCAGACCTCTGGTGAGCACCGCAGGTCGAGGTTAGACGAGGAAGAGTGTCTGTAAACTATGACGAAGTTTAGAACAGACAGTTTGGGTTGCAGTCTGAACATTTGCCTTTGTTTTCTCTGTGAATAAATTTGACTGGCCTGAGGGGCTTGTTTTGACCCTGTAGAGTCGTCTAACTGCTCGAGCTTGTTGCCACACTGGAACAGTTTGACAATGTTTTCACCTTATGAGATCTCATTAATTACTTTGCTGATTCCAGTGTTAAAATGCTACAAAATCAAACCACAAGTTGTAATAAACTGTGGTTTTCCTTCCAGGAGCACAACCGCTTGTTTTTACTGCTGGGGGTCTTTGGTCGGTGGCAATATGTCTATAAACCGTGTGGATCCAAAAGACCCGAGCGAAGGCGCCATCTATCTGATGAGGTGTGTTTTGAGTCGAGGGGGGGAGAATGAGAACTGAACATCGCAGCTCACTGGAGTTTTGTTTTGACGAGGGAACTGAAGCTGAGCTCATTTCAGAAAAATCAGCAGCCTTAACGATTTATACTTTTAAATGACTTTTGTCTGTGGCCCAGCTGGCTACAGAACGTTTTAATGTAGGTGCAGGAGATAGAAATAGGACTTTACATTATTTATATAAACTTGTCGTTTAAGTATATAGACAAATTATTTTAGTTTCTATTTACATTCATTCTTAAGATATTATTACTAGCTGCAACAATAGGGCTGGTTTTTCCACTTTGTGAGACTGTGTGCATGTCTGTGTGTCTGTGTCATGACAAAAGGTTTGTCCTGGAGACACCTACTCACGCCAGAACTATCACAGATATGGTTTTGAGCACTTTAGCAGATGTTTATCTGTGTGTTTTTCTGTGGACAGATTTTATCACCGCGAAAGAATCACCACAGATACACCCATAAAACTTTACAGGTGTGTAGCTGAGATCAAAATTAAAGCCAAGTTCAAAGATGGGTGTGTGTCAATGCACAGAGGAACAAACAAACAATGGAGAAATCATGTATAAATTGTGTATCTCTTTGTGCTCTCTGTTCTCTCTGGTCAACCTCAGGTCTGCTCAGATCAGGTCTCTGTCTTGAAAATTGTCGGGTCCATTTTGGGTCCAAAATTGTTGTGCACAGAAGAAGACTGTGTGTCAACAAACTGTGTATAAATGATGTTTTAATGAACTTAATTAGACACATTAAGTATCTTTTGCACTATATTTGTACCTAAGATTTGTGCGTTGAGCTTAAGCTCAAAACGAATGATGTTCAGAAGGCATTTGCAAACACTTATTGTGGATTTACTACGACTATAGAAAGAGTATTGTAGTTCCAGTTTTGTACTTGTGCAAACTACAGATCTACAGACTTAAGTCTGACAAGTTTGAGCTGTTTTTCCGGAGCATCTTGGCTTTAATCCTCAACTGAGGTACAGCCAACATCATTGAAGTAAAACTCAAGCCAAACCAGTTTTAATACTTGCATGTAAACGTTCTGTGACTTGATGGAGAGATGGAGGAAAAGGTCACCCAGCCCTAAAATGATAAAGATGATGATGATAATAAAGCTGAAACTATGAAACGTCCAGACCTCTGGACGTTTCATAGTTTCGAGGTTAGACGAGGAAGAGTGTCTGTAAACTATGACGAAGTTTAGAACAGACAGTTTGGGTTGCAGTCTGAACATTTGTCTTTGTTTTCTCTGAATAAATTTGACTGGCCTGAGGGGCTTGTTTTGACCCTGTAGAGTCGTCTAACTGCTCGAGCTTGTTGCCACACTGGAACAGTTTGACAATGTTTTCACCTTATGAGATCTCATTAATTACTTTGCTGATTCCAGTGTTAAAATGCTACAAAATCAAACCACAAGTTGTAATAAACTGTGGTTTTCCTTCCAGGAGCACAACCGCTCGTTTTTACTGCTGGGGGTCTTTGGTCGGTGGCAATATGTCTATAAACCGTGTGGATCCAAAAGACCCGAGCGAAGGCGCCATCTATCTGATGAGGTGTGTTTTGAGTCGAGGGGGGGAGAATGAGAACTGAACATCGCAGCTCACTGGAGTTTTGTTTTGACGAGGGAACTGAAGCTGTGTGTGAGTGATAATGGAAATATGTGGTGCTGGAGACACCAACCGCAGCCGGAACTACCAGACGTGGTTCTGAGCACTTTGGCAGATGTTTATCTGCGAGTTTGTCTGTGGACAGATTTTATCACCATGACAGTGTCACAACCAGCAAGATCCAGTCATGAAACTTTGCAGGTGCGAAGGCCGACTTTGAACATGGATGTGGTGCGACCCACGAGCGCTGACGAATAATGACTACTGAGTACTCACAGGTCAGAGAGTCAATATGTTGACAGGTGTCACGGCTGGTGTGGTTCCATCACAAGTTATTATTGTATTGCTCCTCTTTGTGCTCTGTGTTTATGTTGGATCAGGTCTAACCATCCTCAGGTCCCCCTCGGATCAGGGTCTCTGTCTTGAAAATTGTCGGGTCCATTTCGGGTAAAAGATTTTGGTCATGTGAAGATGTCTAATGTGTTATTAGAACAAGGTAGACCTTTAAATATCAAGTTCCTTGTTTTATTACACAAAAAAATGATACCTAACCCTAAGCCAAGTGAAATACAAACAGTAGATTTAAAGTTAACATTTAACAGGTTTCTTCATTCGCCACCAGAAACATTACTTTAAAAAGATTTTATAAGGGATTTGAAAGGATTTACATTCAATAAAATGTTTTTAAACCCATCTCTAAAAAGGAAGTGCTCTTTCTTTTCTTCTTAAACTCAACTGGTTTTTGACAAAAAGAAATCGGAGCAGTAATATAATTTAGTCAGTTTCATTTTAACTACAAAACCCACTATTTTTTCCCCCCCAGACATCACAAACGCAGTTCGTGGAAAAACAAACATAAGGGCGTATCCAATTTTAATATTTTATTGCAATTTATTCCTTTACAGTTAAACTCAAACTGAATAGTATAAAAAACTGACATTAACGTACAGACACACAAGGTCAAACAAACTCACTGATGAGGAAAACAAACACATTGAACCTAAAAACGGTATTTTGTAGTTGAATTTCCGTCCTCGCATTAAGACATGTCCGTCGAGCTGTCGTCTCTGAGAACATCAACAGTCCATGTTTCTGCCGTCTCCTGAAGACAAGTAACGACGCAGTAAAAACACAAACCGAAACCTACAGCTAATTATTCCTGTTACAGTGATACTGGACAACTGGCCAAAGTAATAAACAAAACAAAACAAAAAGAAAAAAAAAAAAAATATCGGCTTTAGGGACAATGGAACAACAATGTGTGTGCACCATGCTTGTGTGTCTGTGTGTGTGTGTGTGTGTGTGTGTGTGTGTGTGCGCACGTTTGCTTTTCGTATCTACAATATGAGTGTTAAAACAGAGTCCGAGTTCCTACTGGAAGCTGTGTGTACGCTGCATGCGTCGGTGTGGTCTGAGCCTACGAGTCCTCTTCACCGTTGACACTGTCAGCATCATCGTCACCTTCCACGTGCTCTCCTTCCTCCTCCTCCTCTTCCTCTTCCTCCCTCTCTTGACTCTTCACCTGCACAGTTTGTATCAGAAACATGAGCTTAAATGAATGTGATCAACTTAGGTCGATGGCAGAAGGTGTAGCAGGTTTATGAGCTGAACCTAAGAGTTTTAAACATGCCATAATAACAAAAAAAAAAAAAAGAAAAAAAGAGCATGAGTGTGAGTCATAGACTCTCTCCACCGGCTCCTTATTCACTTCAGAAATCAATTTAAGACCTTGCTGATTACTTTAAAGGCTCTTAATGGCCTGGACCCACCATTACAGCCCGTTCACTGGCGCTCAGCCCCTCGATCTTAGATCTGACAGCTCATTTCTCTTGTTCCACGCTCACGACTAAAACTAAAAGGTGGCAGAGCTTCTTTTGCCGCTCCAAAATTGTGGAACCAGTCGCCTTTAAGGCCGTTGTCATGTTCATAATTGTGTATTTCCTCCTTGTTGTTTCTTTTTTCTTTTTTTAAAGTAGGTTTATTATGTTTCTGTATGCGGTGTATTTCAATGTCCTTTGTACAGCAGCTCAAGCTGTTTAAATCAGCTCTAGAAATAAAGTTGACTTGACTAATGTCAAAGGTTTTGTATCATTGTGGGCTTTAATAACATCTCTAAAATATAAACCACAGTTGCATCAAAAAGTCAGATTACACTGTTGAAAAGATCTAAAGTTTCAAATTGAAAAAAACCTCCCACTACGGACCTTTTTATAGGAACTGTTAACTCCATGCTCCACGGAAAAGATGGCTCACTGCTCCTAGTCTACAGAGAGAAAAGGCTAGATACTGGATGATTGTTTATTTGCATCTTTTTTTTTTCCTCTCTCTCTTTTTGTTTTATATTGGGCAACCATGCTTAAATCCCTGTGTAATAAACTGCACCTGTGTATTTGTCTGTTAATTGCTGACCGCATGTTTACGTTTCTTTCTCTGTTAAATTCAGCAAATGTGACGAGGGAGTCTCACCTCTTCCTCCTCCAGCAGGTCTCCCTCCTCTTCATCATCCTCCTCATCCGAGTCGTTCATCTCCTGGCTCTCCCTGTCCCTCTTTATCCCGTCGTCCTTCTTGTTGCTTGGGTGTGGTGGTGAGGTCACCTCTCCTGGCTCAGTTTTTGTGCTCTTAGCTTCTGCCAAACATGGAAACATGTTTAGAAATGATGATCAACGATATTAAATTAGGTTAGAGGAAGTAAACTGGCTTGTGTCTTGATTCTGAGCAAACGCAGGCTATGAGTCTAACTCTGATGGTCTGCTGGCTGTGCTTCGAGACTTCCACTGTATTAAACTTGTGATCTGATCTTTGTGTGCAGTCATTTCAGTTTTGAATCCATCTAGTTAGTTGAATATTTGTTTAGAACTTTTACATTAAAAAAAAAGGTTTTTGCCTTACAGATAATAAAACCAGCAGGTCAGACACTCCTCATTAAAACATACAAGGTTTCCCCCCCATACCCGACTTCTTGCTGTGGTCCTTCTCCATGCGCTCCAGGCTCTCCAGCAGGTCGTCCACTTTGCTTTTGATTTGGGTCAACTCCCGCTTGATGGTCTGCAGCTCATCCACTTTCACTGCAGAGAGAACGGAGGGAGAACCAGTGTTGTTACGACTTATGGATGAGCAACAAGTATGATGGAGAGAAGGTGCTTGTAAACAGTAAAAATCAAATCTTGTTCAATCACACAAACACGTAACTGTCCACTGAACATAAGCTTAAGCTGAGCTCGGCTGCGTGCAAGGCCACGCCTATTGTCAATAAATCGAACCTGGATTGCAGCACTCTCGACTGATCTATCAACATTTTTAATTGAGTTTTATGTAATAGTGAAATAATTTCTCTCTATCTTTGTCTGACTGTGATGTCGGTAATTGTAACTGGCCGTTCGATTCGAAGGTTCGATAAGAAATTTGTTAGCTTCAGAATTGAAGCTATATTTTGCAGACTGGGAACCAGATTCAAACCAGATTCAAACTCAAAACCCATCTCTATAATTACTCAAATAATTGTTGCTTATTTTGTATTTTGAACAACAATCAAATCAGGCAAAAGTGTTCAAATTTATATACAAGGATCTAGTCCCTGACTAGCAGATTCTGGAGCCAGCTAATGTCCCGGGTTTTTATTTGATAAATGATTGATAATCAAAACTTCACTGTTTCAGCACTTCTTTCTTGTCCAGCACACAACACCCTCTAATTAATCAAAAGCAAAAAGGTGCAGGTACGTATCCTGGTACTTCAACCTTTTACCCACTAGACATAGACAGGACATGATGGCTGTACAGGATTTTCGTTTTTTAAACTGTTGTGCAACTTTATAACTCAAAACGGGTTAGATGGTGCCAGTAATCATTTTGGCTGACTAGTGAATAGACTTTAAAATGATAGCTGTGCAGTATCCTGTTAGTTTGTGCTGCTGTCCTCCCTATCTTCCAACAGGGGACCGATAACGATAATCTTGTACATGTCGCAGGAGGCAGTGGGAGACACTCACTTGTTCTGGATGAAGTCCTCTGGCTGCTCTTGGAAGAAGAGAAGCTGCTTTTGGTTCGTCGGCTGCTTCCTCCGCTGAGGCTGACCCGGGGGCGCTTGGATGGGATCACGGCCCGCGACAACGGTGGAGGGGGAGCGGGGACGCGGGACGGGTACGAGTACATTCTGGCATCAAGCACAAGAGCAACGCGATTAAAAACAAAAGAAACAACTGTGGGGAATGTGGAAGATTTCAATCAACGAGAAAAGAACTGAAAAACAGAACCTGCTACTGTTCATTTACAACACTGTGGGCATTGTGCACAAGCAGAAGAGTGACGACTGTTAAAGTACCGTGTTCAAGAAGGACAGGAAGAAGTTCAGGACATGAGGAAAATAATAACTCATGAGTGACAGAGAAAATGGAATTTATCATTTTGGATGTGTGCCTTGTGTTTTCTTTTCAAAGTGGCGAACAGAAACATTTTACTCACCTGTCATAATAATCTCTTTGAAAGTCGTAGTCGAGGTCAAATGAAGAGCTGCTGCTGCAGGAACAAAAACAAGAAGTCACGTGAGCTTGAGATTTATTTTAATTTCTGGTACTTTTCTGTAGCACTGGTTTATTTCCTGGCCAAAGTTTTCGTGATTTGCTTGTTTGTGTCATTTCATCTGCAGTTTAAGTGTTAGTATAATATTATCACCATGACTGACCTGTACATGTCTCCAGCTGAGCGTTTGGTGGTTTTTGACCTGTGTGGTTTGGGTTCTCCAGCCAGGTTGATGTCTGAGGGGGTAAAAAAAAAAAAAGACAGACAGACCACCGATCATTAAGTGTGTGATGCCAAGGACCACAGATTGAGTCCCTTTAACCGACGACTGTTATATCCCCTCACTGTACAGAATGATGAATGTGTGACACTGTTTTCATATTGATCTGCTGAAAGGGACAAATATCCTCTGTGTTCACCTTCAATCTGAGTTTAACGTGCGTGTGTGTGTGTGTGTGTGTGTGTGTGTGTGTGTGTGTGTGTGTGTGTGTGTGTGTGTGTGTGTGTGTGTGTGTACCACTTTGATAGATCCACTAGTTTGGACCCAGTTGTGATTCAATATGCAACTTACAGAAGTGTGATGTGTTGACTTGAAGCCTCCAGTGCACAGACAATACACTCACAATTGACTTGTCAGTGATGTAGGAGACATCATGGACCAGTAGTTCAACTTTTCAAATGAAAAATATTTGCTCATTTACAGATTCGATTCATTCAATTAGGGAAAATAAGTAGATGCGTTTTAAAGATTTTTCAGCCAGTTATTCAAACTTTTATTGTAGGAAAAATATATATAGACATAAATTATTTTCCTGGAGTATTTTTGTATGTCTTCACCAGAACTTGACATTTCAGAGATGCAGTCTTCAAAAATTTACTGGCAATCAATGAGCATAGTTTGTACATTTTGTCTTGACCTCTTTGTTCCCAACCATTAGAAAGGGGGAACACAAAGTAGTTCTGAGGGGTACCAGCCAGTAAGGTTGGGAACTGCTATCCTCCTAGATACTTCTTCAGTAAATGGAGCAGCTTTTCCAAGGATCCATTTAAATGCAAAGTACAATCATAAGAACTTCTAAGACTTCACTCCAAAGTTCAGAAACTGAATCCTTACCAAGCACTTGTCCGACAATCATCCTCCCATCCTCTCCAGTGACGGCAGCCCGGGCGTTCCTCTCGTTGGAGTACTGAACAAAGGCGTAGCCCTTGTGGACAGAGCAGCCTACGATCTTGCCATACTTGGAGAAGATGGCCTCGACGTCCGCCTTGGTGACCAGCAGGGTGTTGAGGTTGCCGATGAAGACCCTGGAGTTGAGGGAGCGTGGGTCGGTCTTGTTGGTGACGTTGCTGCTGGCCATCAGGCTGGAGGTGGTAGGTGAACGACTGGCAGGAAGACACAGACACAAATCCCAGATTTAGTGGCATGAATGAATAATATTCACCCCTCTGAACTTCTCCTGCTGCTGCTGCTGCTGCTGCTGTGTGAAGCACTGGAGAAACCCCAGCTGTAGTGAATCGGGACAGCGCACATGAACAGCAGGGTTTCCTGGGAAATTAAGAAAGTTAAATCAAAAATAAAAATGAAGTTTAAATGCTGCTGATGACGAAGGAGAAAACTGCAGGAAGTTATGGGTCACCCTTATTCTACTAACAGGAGGCATACAGCCAAACTGGTCCTTACTTTGATGCTTTGAATTTGTCAGCAGCCTTCAGGTTTCAAGTGTAGCTGTATAATGTCCAGACCGTATAAAAATAATCCTCATTGACGGAAAAACAAGTGTAAAAAATAATACAACTGTCTCAGATGGCATCAAAAGCTATTAAAAAAACAAGCAATCAAATGATGTTCAATTACTTCGCAAATTGTTAAAAAGCATTTTTGTTAGAGGCCTGCAATAAACTCAAACATATACCGATCAGACGGTACGCTGTATGTGCGATTCTAGTACTGGCACCGAAATCACTGCATTCACTGACAACTAAATGTAACAGCAGCAGTTCACCGTCAGGATATTTGTTTTAGCGATTCCAGTATATGAGATGTGGTGGTGCTGCTATTCAGGTGATGTGTACAGCATTGTATTAGGACATGTAAAATTTAGCATCGCTACGTAAACATGTTGAGCTGAAAAGGAGGTTAGCATTAGCCTGATCAAAAAGCATCTGAACAACAAAGATCCCACAATCTACTGAACATTGCATTCAAAGGCTTCAGTGTCTCTTATGTTTCATTTCAAAGACTCAGTTTGAATAAGACACCAGAGGTGTCACTGTTTTAGTCTTGACCTTGTGATGTAATGACAGCCTTTTGAACTTCCTTACATTACTGCTGTATCAAAAAATAAATAAATAAAAAGCAGGGCATGTAGATGAACTTGAGTTACATTTCAACACACACCTAAACTTCTATAGTTTCAAGAGTATATATATATATATATATATAAAGACTATGGTATGTTAAAAGAACAAGTTTTATTGTAAGGAACAACACTGAACTGGCATTATGTGTATTTGTGATAGCAGTAAGCCACATAGTTAGTCAAGGTAACTATCTTTCACTTCAGCTGAATGACAAAAAATAGACTGATAACCACTCGAAGGCTTTGATGGTACATTACAAGGGCTTATATGAGGACTTGGGACTTGTCAGAAATGTTAAAGTTTTATTTGCAATGTTTTTCTAAGCAGTGAGGTTCGCCACCTGCTTAAGAGTTTAATGAGTTTGGGGTTTAAAGGTGGGCGATACAAAAGAAATTTGACCGAATTATAACTGAATATTCATTAACTCAAGGTCTGTCAGTGCTTTCATGTTGTATCAAAATTAGGGGTACGTGGTTTTGTTTCTGGGGATTAGTTTGGCGTATATGACTAAAGCAGACAGAAACAATTACTGTTTAATTTAACAGTTGCATATGTTCAGAAAGGAATAGCTGGAATGCCCCAGCAGAGGACATTATTTAAGCTATACCACATTATTATAGCCAAAATCCAATAAGTTAAAGTCTCACATCATCATTATATCACTGTATTCTATCTATATTAGTGCTGCAACAAATTTATCTTCACTATCAAGTAATCTGCCAATTATTTTCTGCATTAAACAATTTTTTTGTTTACTGTCAGTAAAATTCATTGAAAAAAACAAAAACAAAAATCTTCAAAAGCTGTTTGATCAGTAGTCCAAAACACAAAGATATTCAGTTGACCGTCACTTCAAATCATAAAACCTTCTCATTTGAGAAGATGGATCCAGTAAATTTATTTTGTTTGAAAAAAAATTGACTAAACCAGTTATTTGATTCTCAAAATAGTTTCTGTCAATCATTGCAGCTCTAATCAATATATTAATCTCAATTAGTAAAGCACCAACAATACCAAACTAATCTATATTCACTGGGGACTTCCAGGCAAAACTCTAGACTCTTCTGATAGCTGACCAGCTCTCAGAATTCAATAAATAGGGCATGTTACTACTAATACTAACAGTACTATATATTACTACTAATAGAGCCAAGGGAGGATGTGAGTAGTCAGTGAAACCTAGAGCCTTGTGTGAATTTAGAAATGGGAAAGGAGCCCTTATACAGGAAAACATAAAAACAGTAGCGGCATCAACAATTGACGCCCCCTCCCGGCTGACAGGGGGCCGAACATTCATCACTCACTCCATAGCGTCTGTGTGCAGGGCTGTCGTCTGTCTGATGTTTGACACTGTGGCCTGGTTCAGTTTGGTTGGGCTGGTGTCTCGACCTTCACCTTCGCCCCTCGCGATTTATACTGAGGCGACAGAAAACACACCTCAGTCAAACTGAGCAGGGTTATCTTGTACCAAGTCTTACCTGGTTGGAGTGTGTGTGCAGGAGTCAGTGACGAGAATAATATACAGTAACAGCTAAAAAAAAAAAGAAAAAAAAAGAAAGAAAAAAAAAAAAAAGTGTATTTCTTTGAAAATACCGGCACAACTAGCTTCTTCGAGACCACAACCTGAGCCAAATGCATGTTTAAAGTGCAATATCTAATGATATTAAAAATAAGCCGTGTGACAGAATACAGAAGAGATCCACATTTAAGAAAAATAAGTCTAAACCTGGGACTAAACACAAGAGACAACACCATTACGTTCACATCAATTAGAGAGTAGGCCATAATTGGTCCACATATGCGTGTTTGTGGAGCTCTTATGAAACATGGTTGTAGGAGCTCAGGAGTACATGAATCCCTTAGAGAGCAATGTCAGCAGAGAATCCACTTGAACCACACCTGTCTACATGTGCCATTAAACCTCATCTCTCAAGATCTCAAACTGAAAACTCAGGTTATCTTATCAAAGATCTCATCAAAGACCTTCTCATGCAAGGTGTCAAGTTTAACTATGAACTGTGTTGGCTTGACAGGTATGACTAGATAAGCAAGATTACTAAACGTCAAAGGAAAGTTGCATGGAGGAATTTTGTCAATCGATACTATATAGTATAATTGTGATTGTGTCAGTTATTTCATATTCAAACATGGGGGTATGTCAGTGACATACTATACAGGTTAGGAATTACTGACTGCTGATATATAAATAAAAACTACATGTAGGATCTGACACTAAGATGAAATTTGTATCACCATTATTAATGAGCAATAAATATACAAGGCAAGTGTGGTTACACCATCTCAGTTTAAGAAACAGGGCAAATTAAAATGACTGGAAAGTATATTTGAAAATAGAGATGTCACTACTAGCACTTAGCAATGTGATACATACTTCATATATAATCCTATAGGACCAATTTTTGGTGTCCCTAGGGATTGTGCAGTATTAAATAAAACAGGACTTTTAAAGACCTTTTATATATACACACCACACAGCGTGCAATTCAATTTCTTTTTCATGGTCCCATTGGTCAAAGACTGACTGAGAATCAGAGGAAAAGAAGACCTAAAATGATTTAAATAAAACAGTAATTCTTATCATAATTAATCAATTAATGGGAACTGGACCAAGGTATGTGGTAATTAAGCAACTGAAGTTTTTGCTAAAATATGCCCCTGCATGCACAATCCACTGTGGCAGTAGACTCACTTATAGTTTATAAATGAATAACGTTTCCCCAACAGCTCTCAACCACATAACAAAAGCAAGTTCTACTTAATGTTACACCATCTATAGCAGGCAAAAAAAGGACATTTGTAAATGAAATTTAAGAACTTTTAGTATCTTCTAGGGCCTTTATTTAAACTTTAAGACCTGCTGATAACCTGAAAGTGTTATCCTGCTGGGATGCGTTTCTTAATGATTCCACAATATTTTCATTCATCAGCTTCTACTGAAAAGACTACATGGTGGTTATGGGTGTACCTGTGGCCTAGGAGTGAATGTGAAGGCGTGGGTAGATTTGGATACACATAAACAGCCATCATACTCTTTCAGATGAACAAATGTTTAATTGTTAAAATGTGTATTTGTAACGTTATGTAACAAAACTGAAGCCACTGGCAGTCCAAAGCTTCCAAAATCAGAAAAATCACTCTTCATCACGGAAGAAAAAACACGGGGAAAAATCTACTCCATATAAAAAAAACAAGCTGACTGAGCAGAATGAGCCAGAAAAGCGAAGTCTGGGGATCATGAAAAATTACCTAAACCATCCACAACACACCCGCCTGGACCCCGACAGCGCCACCACCGGGCTTTAGTGTGAAACACAGGGCCTGCGCTAGCCTTGGGGGCTCAAAGCCGGATGGCATGGCTAATGTTAGCCGACCACCATTAGAAAAGCATAAAAAAATTACACCGCATTCAGACCAGTTCCTCTGCTTGCAAAAACCAAAACCTGCAAAATTCTGATAATTGTGTAGTCGATAATCTGTAATCAATTCTGGATCAGGGTGAAGCTGCGACTACTAAACCAAAAGGAGACTGTTAGCTAGTTAGCAGCTGGTGGGCTGGCAAAAACAAATCAGTCCCGTCAAGGAAAAGTCTTCACAATAAACGCTACAAAAATAAAGCTAAAAAATGGGATGAAATTGTAGCTAAATGCATCCAAAGCGTCGTGTTTTCTAAAAACCACAAGCAGCGTTCGTATGTTTGAAGAGGACGAGCGTCTCCGAGTTAGCTAAGCTAGCTACCTCGCTAGCCAGCACATTACGATCTGTCCACTTGCAAAATGGCAAAAAAAAAAACACCGTTGAAAAAAATCCAAAAAGAAAAGAAAAAGGAAGGAAAAATGAAAAATGTCTGGGAACAAAATACTCACCACGACCTTTACGAGTAAAATGTCTTGCTTTCGGTAAAATCTGTCAAATCGTTACTTAGGTCGTCCTTTCGGAGCACCAGTGGTTCGCCCCCCTGTGCCTTGAGCTAGCTTTCTTCTAGCTACCGAGCTAACGCAACGCTAACTGGCGATGGCGCAGTAATGGACAGGGATGCTTGTTTTGTTTCACGGAGCGGTCCGAGGGAGCGGGATCAGTCAACTGAGGTATGTTACATAAAGAACATTGCCAACACCGGTGTGACCTGTTAAATTAAACGTACTCACCTGTTGTCTTTGAAAATCAGCCTGTCCTGCCTCCAAAAGCCTCCAGAGATTTGGGCTTTGATTTGTGTTTATCTTTGTTTTTAAATCAGTGCTGGGAAAGTAACTAACTCCATCTACAAAAGTAATGCACTTAAATACAAATTTTAGGTGTTTGCACTTACATCTACATTTTTATAGTCATTAATTTAGCAGACGCTTTTAAACCGAAGCGACTCACAAGTGAGGGGCAACACCAAAGCTTCAGTGCAGTAGGAGACCTTCGTGTAAATACCAAGCACTCTTTCTACTACTTCAATTCAAGAAGTGCAAGATCAGGTAAAGAAGTGCACCAAAAGAGCATAGTAAGTGCTACTTCACTTTTAATGCCATTTTATATTTGCTACCCCACTACAATTTGGAGGGAAATTTTGCTCCACTACATTTATCTAACAGCTTTAATTACCTTAATTAAGAATTTTACATACAAAAAACATTAGAAGAGCTTATAAAATATGATGCTTTGTCATTTCCATGTAAAAATGCCAAACATTTCATGGCTCTCGCTTCTCAAATGTGAGGATTTGCTGCTTTTCCTTTTAATTAATTCTAAACTTTAATTAATTTTGAATAGGCTACTTTTGAAGTGTGGACTGTTGGTTTGGGCTCTTGGTATGTGATGGGCATTTCTCACAATTTTTTTGAATGTTTACAAATGAAATGATCAACGATTAATTAAGAATATATCGGGGAGATGAATCCATAATAAAAATTATAACAATAATCATACTCATGCTAAAATAGGTTAAAAAAATTTGCTCAACATCTACATTAGTAAAACTCTGCTTACACATTAATGCATGAGAAATAACTATCTAGTGATTGTTCTTACATTTATGCAAGTAGCATTTTCAATGCAGGACTTCTACTTGCAACAAAATATTTTTACAGTGTAGTATTAGTAGTTTTAGTGAAGAACATTTGTAAAATGAATGCTATTTCACATGCCACCTGCATTTCTCTTTATACATACAGGCTATGGGACGTGAAGAATTGATCCTGAATCAGATATATTATCAATCAGCCACCAATGCAACACACAGGAGGTTAAAGAAGATTTATACCAAAACATTTTTTTTTTAATATCAGTTTTAGTAATTGATGCACCTGCTGAGAAAATTCACTCATCAAAGTGCAGAGACCGTTTTTAAATAGCTGACATAACATGCAACTAACAGTTAATCAATCTAATATGAGTCACCTTGCAGCTATGATTAACTATGAATAACTGTAGCTGTGACTAATTTCTAAAACCTGAATTTTACAGAGATTTTCTCTGTTTCAATTCTCATTTTCTCATTGTGATACCTGTAGGCACAGAAGCTGACGGATACATTAGACAACTCATTTTCTAAATGGAAACTGTGGATCATAAAAAAGCAACAAAAACCTGCTCATATAAAATAATTGAGTGTGTCTGACTTGGGTAACAGTGGTTATTCTGTCAGTTATTGTCCCATTAAACTTCAAAAGTATTTGATCTTCAAAACACATGTAAATAATATTGTGTTTTAAATATGTGAATGAACATAAAGCGTCAGACCACTGCTGTATTACTGCACTCAGCCAGGAGAGGGTAATGTTGTCATAAAAATGAATGAATCGTGACACTGGGATTAAAGAAAACAGTAAAATTTGGTGGGGTTTAACATTTTTACTCTGATCAGTCCAGTCACAGCGCAACATAAACAGATGAGTGACCATGATGCATCGCTGCTGTGAGGTACACTGAATGATTAGAATCTGAGTATAGCATAAGTGGAAGAAGAAGACGGTTGCATCCATATTATTACAAAGTGTCTTAATGCCTGCACCTGTGTGCTTTTTTCCTCTTTAGCCTCCAGTTGTGCATCGATAAGTGAAAGTTTAATATAACCCTGCGTTAGGAATATGTGTGCATTTCCGCACAGAGGTTCACAAAGTGGACTTATAAAATCTTAGGTGAAAAAAAAAGTTTCTAAAGACATCAGTTAAGGTGACTGTGGAAAATGCTATAAATATAAAAATATAATATAATAATAACTATAGACCCAGAGTACGAGGAGTCTAACCTAAACCGCTCTTGTTTCTGTAGCCTGGGCAAAAGTAACACATTTTCAGAAATCTGCAACATGACTTTTCTTTTCTTTTTTACTTTTTTTTGTTTTCAATACATCAATACAACCTCTATACACACAGGAAATAATGAACAAATGCAACAGGTTTGCAGACAGGTGATCCGCAGAGGTGGGAAACTCACTGAGGACATGTAGTGTACAGGTATAGCAGTGTAGTACGAGGTCAAAACAGTATACAGAAGAACTTTATTATTGGTCATCCATGACCAAGACCAGAGAACGAAACGTGTCGGTCTAATAATAATGTTCTTCTGTATGCTGCAAGTGTTGTTGGAGTTTTTACCTCTTTAGACTTTTTCCTTTTTCCATGCACCTTGGAAGTAGGTGAAATTGTGCCAGAAATCTATACTTTGCTTCTACAGCAGTGTTGTACAAGGGTACAACAGGGTACAAGAGGTTTTTCATGGCAGACATTTTGACTTTGAAAAGCACAGGTGTAACTAATGACAGTAATGATGGATTAGTGTCATTAAATGATGAGAAAGCCATAGGAGTGAGCCAGCATTCATCCATTTATGTTATTAGTACACCTGTGCATTTCCTGTTATAACAGTGGTTGTTCAAAATTATATTAAAATATGGTAGAAGACGAAAAGAAAGAAATGTTTAAAAGAAGAAATCCTAAAACACGAGGAAGGCCACAGGAGAAGCTTAAAGACACTACAGAAATTGTACTGGAGATACACGGTGGGCAGTCGCCTCTGTTTTGGGGGGATAAACGGTGGACGAGAGAGCGGAGTATGTGGGATCAGCAGCGGTGCGAATGGAGCCCCCCTACCTACACCAGCCAGCGTTGGCCCTGACAGCGGCCCACCAGCAGCCCCAAGACGGACAGACAGAGGCCAATGACAGCCAAGAGAACACAGGTAACATTAGGCCAATAATGTCTCTAATGATTGTTTGAATGACAGAAGTCAAAAGAAAAAAGTTTTACTTTATGAAGATGGTTTTGGTATGCTAACGGTTGAGCCGGTAGTTAGCTCCTAACAATTTAAGATAATAGCATATGCGGAAGCGGCCTACATGTCAACAAACACTACCACTTTGCCTTCAGAATAACGTAGTGCTGTCGGTGTTTATTTTTCTTAGCGGCCCTGTCTTTGGACGGTGTGGCGGAGAGCAGAGGAGGAGAGGCAGTTACTGCGGTCTCTAAAAACTCTTTCACCTTGCATTGCTCTTTCCATAACAACAAATTCACAAACACCGAATTTACGAAGTAAATCTAGTCAGTGGGGCTGCAGCAACTAGTAACTATATTCACTATCAATTAATGTGCTGATTATGTTCTCGATTAATGTTTTGTCCATGAAATGTCAAAATCTTCAGAAAGTATGTTTTGCAAGATCCAAAGATATTCAGTTTACTCTCATTAGACAAAGGAAATTAGCAAATCCTTTAATTTGAAAAGCTGGAACCTGCAAAACAATCAGTCAATCAATCATCAAAATAGCTGCTGATCAATTTTTTTTCACTGACAAACAACGTGTCTGACAGAAATATGTATTATTTGTTTTATTCCTTATCTTATTAATGGTATTATGACCCCTCAGCTCTACATTTGATTTACCCTATGATAAGGTCAAAATGTCTGCAAATTGATATCAGGCGAAACCTTTATTTAAAAAAACAGCTTCATATTAAAAACAATGGATAGAGCACATGTATGTAATAATCATTTCTCTCTTGTTTGCATCATAATGTTTGGAGTTTATTTGTGTTTATTTGAGTTTATCTCCCCCTGCACCAAAGGCCTTTTTCACAGCAGACATTTCAACATGTCACAGTAGGAAAAGCACAGGTGTAACTAATAAAGTTAACGATGGCTGAATTGCTTTTAGCTTCAAGACTCTGGTATTGTTTCATGCTGCCTCGCTGTCACACCATCAGCCCTTACTGGAGACACTTGAATAGAACAGAGCCATTGTTAATGTTATTAGTAACAACTGTGCTCTTCCTCCTATGACAAGTCAGAATGTCTGTGGTGAAAAATGCTTTTTAATATTTCTGAATAACTTAACTGCACCTGAGGAGGGAAAGAGACGGGACGGCAACTAAACGAGACCAATACCAGCTGTTTTCTGTATCTAGTTAGGAGATGAAACCGCTCTACAATTTTTCATGGAGAATATGTTCTTTTGTGAATTGTTTTCGCCCATCTGGTTTTGTTTTCGAGCAGCGTCCCAGAGGACTTGTTTACAGCTCTTTGCATCATCTTGGGAATCAGAAATATAACTCCAACTCTCAGATATACAGATGAAAGGTTTCTCTGCTTGTTTGTGTATTTCTCTCAATCTCAACAATACGAGGTACGGCCAGAGGTTTTACAGGCTATCACATAGTATGTCCAAGTTTTAATGCGGTTGGTGCAAACGTGGAATTATACTTTATGAATGTCAGGGCAAACAGTGATGAGAGGGTAATATTTAGCATTAATTTTTTACCCCTGTAGAAATTGTACTGAGCTGACTACTGCAGAGATACCGTAGGAAATTCTGCAGACCAAAAACCAGACCATGGTCAGTAAAAGGTCGATACTGAGCACCACAAACACACTGAGTACAAGATTATAGGGATACCATAGGAAATAAAAATACCATAAAGTGAAAGAGGACCCATGTGAACCCACTATTAAGCACTAAAGACACTGTTAGTTATTATATAGGAAACATTACAAAACAGGTAATATATATATATTATAATATTAATATATATAATATATATATTTGGCTGACACATGTTTGTCGCAGTTGTAGGCTCAATGTCTTGCTCAAGGACTTTTCAATTTATGTGGACGGGGGGGGGGGGCGGAAATCAACTGCCAAACCTTTGATTAGTGCCTTACTCACTCTTTGAACTAAGCTTCACACATGGCACAATATGACCTCTATTTATTTCAACATGAGGATAGTAGGAAAATGCACAAAAAGGTATCAGGAAGAGGAAGTAAATCACTGTAAATATGACACTGAAGATTAAGAACTTATTAGGAGTTTCTGAAAAATACCATAGTGATAATGAGGGATCAAGATAGACAGTAGATAGATACTCTATTGTAGATCATGTAGATCAACCACACTCATACCATATGGTTGATTATGGTTTGAAGGAATCCTTCATAAAGTCACTGATAGCATATCAGCTGATACTAATACCTAGAGTAGTATTCTGAAAACAGTTCTGACTAAAAGTATAATAAGTCACAAACTGTTGATCATCAGCTTTCCATAGTGAAATCACAGGAGATCAAAATGCTCAAACATATGAACGGATCAGTAAATATCACAAACATCGGCGCATTAAAAATCATTTTAGGATATTCATAGAAAATATAGCAAAACCACAAGTGGTAGAAAAACCATAAAGAAGGGATAAGGCAGGTCCTTTATACATATGTATGTTAATGTGACTAATCTAATTTATGACCATTAAATCTCTATCAGAGGAGAAATCAGACAGCGTCACAAAGACTTTAAAAATCCAACTGGAACATTAGAAATTATAGCACGTATAAAAAGTTACTTTAACTTATCACTGTTGGGAGAAGTACTAAGAGGTATGTTTCTTAAGTAAAAATAGTAACACCATAAGATCTGCACTCAAAATGTTACTCAAGTAAAAGTATTATCAGCATTTAATAATAAAAGTAAAATGCACACATATTATTATATGTATAACTGATGCACTATCTGAAATATTTTTTACGTTGCTTTAAGATGCTAGCCTATGTAATATCTTAATCTCCAAGGTAACTAGTAACTATAGCTGTCAGATAAATGCAGTGGAGTAGAACATACACAATGTTTGTGAAATGTAGTGTATTAGATCCAGGGCCGGATTGACCTCCTAGGGCTCCAGGGTAAATATATGTTGTTGTGCCCCTCTTGACCCCCACTGTAGCCTACTGTACATGGCAGTTTCATTATTTGTCCTGGCACCCAGAAACCTACAAGTGCTCTGGAGCTGAAATGATTAGCTGATTAGTTTATTAGTTGATTGACAGAAAATTAATTGGCAAGATTTTGATAAAAAATCTTTAAGCATGGCAAGAATTCACTGGCTCCTCAAGTGTGAATATAACTCAGTTTTCTAGTAGATTCAACATCTTTGTGTTTTTGACTGTGAGTAAAAAACAACTATTTGTATTGGTAATATCTTGGGCTTTAGGGAATAATGATTGGCATTTTTCTCTATCTTCTGACACTTTATATACTGAACAATTGGATACTGTTATGATGGAAAACTTCTATCATGATTGATGTTTTCTGTGTGTTACTGACTTGACACAGAAAAGACTGAAGCTATTTGATAAAACAAAGTGTTTAAATAAATGAGCTTGATATAAACTAAAACAATCCAGGTGTTAATGGCAGATTTTGGTGGATGGAGGATCTATCATATCAGTGGTTCCATTTCTAACTGTAATCTCTAGAGACAGTTGTGTGTGAAAATCCCACGAGATCAGCAGTTTTAGAAAAACTCAAACCAGCCCATCTGGCACCAACATCATGTCACGGTCAAAGTCACTGAGATCACATGTTTTCCCCATCATGATGTTTGAAATGAACATTGACCAAAGCTCCTGACTTGTATCTGCACGATTTTATGCACTGCTGGTTGTTGGGTTTGAGAGTCTTTAAAACAAAACGTAATCAGTTTTCTTCAGAGCTGTGCATGCTAAGAAGGGTTGTATCATTTCTCAAAAACAGAGTTGTGTGAGTGAATATTTGTTAGAGTGCCCCAGGACATTTGCCAAAAAGTGGCCCAGTTTTGCTGAACCCACCCCTCAGTAAAACAACATATGTGGGTTACACTTATAAAAAGCGTCGTTAAGTCCCACAGACACCTACATTGAGTGAACACTGTAAATTGGCTGCATCCCATCTCCTGTTTAATAAGAAAAAAAGCGCGTGCGTGTCCCTGCGTGCGCGCGCGTCCAGCAAAGCAGATGCAGCCAGTGAGCTCGCGGTGCGGAGACAGTGGGGAAGCACAATCCGCGTGCAGCCAGCGCGAGGCAAAGACCTACCAACAAGCAGTGAACTATGACTGAACACAAAACGGTAAGAACAGCGCTCCAAATGTAACTTGTAATGTGTGTGTTTTTTAAATGTTTTAAATGACCTGTCGTGACGAGAATCACGTTAGCGTGTGATTTATGTTTTGTTATAGTTGTGAAAGATCGCAGGAGTCGTCCTCATGCAGATTGAATGGTTTTATTAATTAGTTAGATCAACACTAAATTAGCTGAAATGACTTTTGTCTTTGGACATTGATATAATACATCACTGTTAATGTTGGAAAGCTGTCTCAGAATGACTCCAGCTGAGACATGAACCATTGTTTGCTGGATGGAAGATGTGCAGTCATGACTTAAAACACTAACTTGTCAAGAGTTTATGATAAATGAGGAAAGAAATCTCCCTAGACAGAAAAAAAACACTTGGACAAACTTCCACCTTTTGTTGGGCTAAGAAATGCTATTATCAGCTCTAATTTTACCTCTCTATCTTGGATTACACAATAACTTGTTTTTATTGTGCAACAAGGATTTGAGGAAGGCAATTAATAGACATGCTGCTATATAGCGCAGTGAACTCTTACCCAAATGGTTCCCTGTGATATTTTTCCCTCTTATTACTTATGGGACTCTTCCTTTCCACTCCTCTGCAGTGCACTGATTTATGTAATGTAGCTGGAATGAAAAGTGCTGCGCAGGGGGTGGAAATCTGGCTTACTGAGAGTCAAACAGATGAGGAGGCTTGTTTTAATCATTAGTCTCATGGTATCACTGACATGAAGCTTGTGCAGGGGAATCAGGGTTTATACTCGCAGGCATCGGCCAGTGTTCCCATTGCACAGAGGTGTGTGCAACGAGGGTTGAAACGCAGTTAATTTTATTATTTACCCCATTTAATCTTATACATGTGACTATTAAAGCTGCAATAAACCAGATTTGTACTGTTCCGTAAAGCACAAAATTACCTTAACATGCCTTTGGGAGGTTGATCAGGTTGTTGATCAATAGCAATGACTCACAGATTATTTTACCAGATGCTCAGATTGTTTGTTCAAGTGCTCAGATGGAGCATGGCGCTACGAGCGAGAGACAGAACTGAGCCAAGATTTGTTTCGCCCTAAAATATTTGTTTGCCCTGGCAGTGTATGTTCGCCTCGATTTCACATCAGGGGGAAGAAAATAACAAAAGCATTTCTCTATGAGTGGATTGTTTTCCTATCGCTGACTTCTCAAAATGTAAACAACGGTTTCAAAATATGTCATTTGGTTACAAGTGAAAGTATGAACCCCAAAGCTGGAGCCATTGATTCTACAAGAGGTTGTGAGGCTTAACATTACTTGTCATTTCTTAAGTGGTTTGCCACAGCATGTATTTACCGTATGTGGCAAAATAAATGAATAACAAAAAAAAAAAAAACGGGTGAAATGAGGCCATGCTGCCAGGGAAAGGACTGATTCCTAAGGAATACAAATTTTTAAAAAGCGTGACAGTAAATTCTGGCCTTGGAAACAGGCTGACAAACTCAAGTCTCTCAACTCAAGGTCCACTTATTCTGGGGCTTTCAATCATGTCACATGGTCTTCATCAGGTCTTCACTTCTTGTCAATGTAGGTTAAAAGTTGACAACATAACAGTTCATCTCTGGCCTTGGAAACAGCAGCCGACAAAACAAACCTCTTCCGTGACATGGTCAAAGTGGATCTTGAGTAATTGGAGAGAAATTAGAGTAAATCACCTAAATATTAAAACAAAAGTGTTTCCATACAAGACTTATACAAATGCAAATACTACGTCACCTCACTTTCTTGCTTTATTTCTGTCTCCATTTAAAAGGAGTAGTTGGACATTTTGTGCTTATTCACCGTCCTGCCGAGAGTTAGATGAAAAGATCAGCACCACCCTCGTCTTCATCAGCCAGCGGCCAGTTAGCTTAGCACAAAGTCTGGAAACAGCAGGAAACAGCTAGACTGTCTCAAGAAATGTCTAAAGTAATTAGCGTAAAAGCATGATGGAAACAGCTGTTGATCCAAAACATCTGTCGAATTTGATCAAATTTTGAGCAGCATTTAGATGGAAACAACAAATTACTAGGGTTAGGGTTAGGGTTAATCCTAACCCTAAACTACTGCAATTCCCTCTGGTGGCCAGTAGAGATCATTTAAAGTCATAGCTTTGTTGCTCTTTAATACTCATGTTTACATTACGTAGAGCAAGATGACCTAATGTATTTAATTAAGAGTTCAGAGTCACTGAGAAACTCTGATCATATGGGACTTATTAGTGTTAGGCAAGAAACTAATTTGCTTTCTGTTACATAAATATTTGTTACCATGTCTCTAAAAAAACAGCCTGGAGTCTGAATTTGTCACATCCGATCTCTTGCTAGTTTGAACTGTTGTTTTATGACAGTTGAGCCTGTGTTCCTAGCATGCTGATGAAATGCTTCATCACTTGTTTTTCTCAGCCGCCCGCTCCCTACATGCCTTTCACGGACATTAACAGTGATTGCCCTACAAGCAGAGCTCATTTTGGTTTGGTTCAGAAATGTTATTCCTGGCCAGAGGTGCGTGCTCTTTTGCAACACCCAAGGGTGACACAGCTGGGTAATACGACCCGCTGCGAGTATTGGAGGTAACTGTTTCAACATTGTTCCTGGTGTGTATTAACTGCAGGCCAATGTCTTTTTAAATCATGTTTACTTGGGAAATTATTACAACTCCCCAAACTTTTCTTCTTAGCACAGTCCAATGAATTAGTGGGATTATAAAAGTTCCAGTTAATACATGGAGGGCAGTTTATCTCTACATGATGATTATAAACTCCAGATTCTTGCTTGGGGTTATTCTCACATCTCACAGTACATGAATGGAAAACAAATGTATTAGGGAAATGTGTGCGTGCATGCTTGCGTGCGTGCATGCGTGTGTTTAGCCTGTTTGGTTTAGATTTTAATCCATATTTAGCTGCAGGCAAACCCTCCTTCTTCGTCTTAGTTAAATGATTCATTGACTCAGTTTTGGATAGTCATCATATCTTTTTATTAAAGTAGCTATCCCACAATGTAAAGGTGAGATGTGTGTAAAAATCTATGTGATGGCTTGTAAATGTAGCGTAATATAAACAAAGAGTACCAATTTCTAGATAACTAAGTGTGAAACCCCATGTGCTTATTAATGGTTTACCAACATTTATAACTGCATTATTACTTAACAGACATGTTATTACCGATACATTTTATTTAAACACCGCACCCTGACACATCAAAGTCTTTTATTCAACCCCACACAATGGGAATTTAACTTAAAAAATGTAATAAAAACGACTCCTTCCATCAACATTTCACATTTATTGTACTGTTCTCTCTATATTTGTACTGTTTTAACTAATGCACACAGATCAACAACCAGTCAAAATCTGTTGCTGTATCTCATCTCAGATATTTCAGTCAGTGCATTCACATGTAATACACTGTGTACTCAGTATACCGATTGCTGTGGTGCATGAATTTTGACAGGCTAGTGTTGTCCCAAATCAAACACTGCCATTGTGCTCTCACCGGAAATGACGATCGCAACATGTGACTGCGATTGTCACCCACCTGCCGGCTGCTTTGCTTACTTGAGTTAACTTGAACCTTTTAATTTCTGTGTCACGCGACAAGGAAATTAAGCAGCCATTGGCGCCAACAACGTATTCTCTTTCCTCGGCAATTTTGACAAAACACTGATAATCCCTCCCCTTCCAGTGTGTGGCCAAGATGGCGACCATTGAGGATGATAAGTGTCCATCATTTTACACTCAAATTTTTCATCGTTTTGATTTCACCATCTGGGTACTTGCACTGCATGTTGCCGTACTCGTCAGTGTGACCACACTAATGCTCTCAAAATAGAGCGTGTGAGTTATGAAGTAAACGAATTGAGACACAGCATATGTGTAAGTTAATAAATGTTACTACCATAATAAGTGTGTAGTTGCAAATGTTAATAAACAGCTTATAAAAGGATTTTAGTCCAGAAGAGAAGTGATCAAACAGTCCATTAGACAGGTCTCTCTATTGAATTTAAGAGCTAAAAACACGGTGTTGTGCCACAACCTGGCAACCCAAAAGTTATGACTGATCAAAAAAGTATTAGTAATTTGTTTATTACAGCTCATAAACCCTTTATTAATAGTTGCTTATGAGAAAGTATAAGAGAAGTAAAACCAAAACAATGATCCAAAATAGACCAGAATACTTCAGAGTTGAGTTGACCTGCAGAGCTGCTTATATTTCACTGCTCGTGTGTCTCTACAAGTGACCGTTCACATAACACATAGTCATTTCATCTATTTCAAATATAAAAATGTTTAGTGCAGCTTTAAAATAGAGAGATGCACCTCTGCAGGTTAAGACAACTTCTTGACACAGTTGAATCCAACCTTATAAAACTGTTGTTTTTTCTTTGCTCCTTAAAAGTTTATAGCCTCGAAATGAAGACACAAGGCTTTTATAAAGGATAACACAATAAAGCTAATTAGTTTTGAGGTCCACTAAGAGGTCCTCAGTGGGAGGCTGGAGTTGCAGCAGCAGAGTTTGATTAAATCAATACAGCAGCGATATTGCAGCATACATATTGCTAAATAAACCCACCAACAAAGAGGAATTGTCTAAGAAAAATTAGATTATGTCAAATTAAAAGTATACTTCTTACAGGGCGTGTAGCCACAGCCAGTAGCAACAACATGCACTGCTTTTGCATGAGTTTGTCTTGGGACGCGTACACTAAAGAGAGGACCAGACTATGTAGAGGGAGTTGTTGCTATAAAGTTTAAATATTATTACTGGGAGTCACCTAAGACTAACATACAAGCATAACAAATATAGCAGTTAAATTGAAAAGATCTGTCAAGATTAATGACGCTTCGCAGAATCGGCGAAGCAGACGTGCACACAGGTTTCGCTCGTTTCATCTGCTCCCAGAGGAAAACAAATTTACATTTCAAAGTTTCAGGTCAAAAATCTCGAAGAGGAGTTTCAGAGGGTTTGGAGGCACGGCTGG